ATGACCAGTCAGGCACTTGCTTTGGCCCTGGTGCAATATGGAGCCAATCTGGAGGTGGCAGCATAAAATGCAAAAACGGCAAAGCCCGGAGTTGCCGAACCATCAAGCCATCCTAGCCGTCCTTCCTCGAAGTCCACATCGCTATCCACCACACCATCCGACGCTGCTGGCAGCCTAACCGTGGAGAGCCTGTATGAAACTTCCCCGCACTTTTCAACATGTGGCCCCCTTCTTTGGCTACCTTTCACGTTATTTTCGATGTGCAGTCAACTGGCGCCTTCTACTGTACGGACAATCGACGCTATGAATGAAACAAACGACGCTGAGTGGGTTAAAACGGAGATTCCTGACAAAATCGTTTTCAGTCGTTTTTTGGCATTCAGAAGGCCATTTAGCGGAAATGGACCATAGTTTTATACTCAGTGCTCATGCCCCTATACCATGCAAAAAACCATTTTCGAAAAGCGTCCCACGCCCTGGAAGACCTTCCTTGTCAGGGTCAACCTTGGAAATGAAGACTACCTGTAGATTTCACGTGAAGAAACATTCTGCATTACATAAGAACAACTAGCGTCAACGAAAGCCAAGATGAGATAGAAATATTGGGCATGTCATCAATACCTTCGAATATGTCAGGAAACCTTATCGAAGTTCTTACTGGTGTGAGAGCATACTCTGGAAAAATCGGATTCAGGATTGGAGCAAATTCTTATCCCTCAAAACAGATGCTCGTGAAAACTCAATATCGATGGAGTATTCCAAAAAAATGAATGAAGCAGGTCCGTCGTTCTCAAAACCTATAAACCTTATACATACGTGCTGTTTCTCTATACCTGCAAACAAAGCATTCAGTCGATTCGGAACCAAACGAATTCACGTTTTCTGCAGAAATGCGGAAAACTAGCTCTGATAGCATAGCATAACTACTTTACAGATGGATTTTTTGGAAGGCTTTTCCAATTGCCTCATCGAATTTTATAGTAGTAGCCGAAGCTGACAGTCTTCTTCATTGAGGCGGTTGAAACCATATCTCACCCCTTAGTCCCAGTGACCATCTCCCGATGGAAATCAGCTTTGGATCTCTTAAGACAGATTCACTTGATTTTTGTCATGATCGCTTATGAGTAACATTATCGTAACATTCCGACTTTTATACAGTTTGCTTCTTGGAGGACGGTCTTCACCGTGTTTGTAGCGCAAGGCGTGGACACAGTGTGGGCCTCCATTGTTTCCATTTATATTACGGAAGGTATGTGCTCTGTGATAAGACAGTGTCACTTCTGTTTTACATATATCATTAAGACAAAGCAGCTCTCTGACCACGATACAAGAAAAAAAGGGAAATGTGTTGAAAATGCTTAGTCTGACACTTCATGTTCGAACTGATTGTCAAGATAGAAATAAATAATAAATTCGTTAAGTGATTTTTCACGAACGTACAAATATGCCAGTAATGTAATATATCGGATAAAAGCAGTTCCTACCAAGAAGTTTCTTTAACAATGTTTCTAAGTTTGTTCTAAAAAATCTGAATTACTTTCCAAACAACCCAGCAGATAGCATCCACTGTTCTTGACAAAAGTCTCCACAGAATTTCTGGATTCAGTTTTCTTTCTACCATAGTGACACGCTGTCAATTTGTTTGCGATTGATAAAACAGAGAAATTTATCTATCTGGCTGCGATAATTTCTAGCCATCCGTGATCTTTTCACACCCGTATCGCCTTGTTTATGGATCTGGATTTTCTCTCAAATACTGATATCTGAATGATGTGGCTCCTAACTTAATGGGAACCATTTTGCATCGCTCGAAGTGCGTGATGAAACAGGAACAAATTAGAGTAGATCCATGTATAGTATTGCTTGAAAACTGCTTGTTAAAGGTTTATGTATTCTAACTACAGAAGCAAGCTAACCTAGAGCAGCAGACATCCCTCTCCTCTTCAGAAGTACACCTTTCGAGTTATTGGCTATGCTATTGCTGGCCATGCAGTTGTAGATTCCCATGTCAATATCCCGAAAGTCTTTCACTGTCAAACGACTTTCTACTCCATACGAACGCGGAATCTGGTGCACCTGTAACAAGCTTTTTCATGCCTTACAAAAAGGGGTTCTGCTGTGTGACAAGTTGATATTAACATCTGAGGCGACGAATAACGAATCCCACATTATAAGCAGGGCAGACTAGAAGCCAATCATGATTGGAACGGTATTTTAGCTTACTCCCAGTGATCGAAGCATTACCATTCTTGTAAAGATATAGCTTGTGAATCTCAAATTCTAACCTTATTATGACCACATGAACCTCTTTTGTCAACTAGTGTACAGAACGCTTCAATCTTTACAGTCATAGATGTTCCGGCAAATTACTTTCACCTCAGTGCTACCTCGCTCACTGAGGAGTGCTGGATAATGGCCGTATAAATATATACATCGATGCCCTACATAGTTTCTTTTGATAAGTAAAACGTAAAGGGCGTAATTGAAGGTGATCACCTAGTCGGTCGTGAGGTTAAAAGATGAGCAGCTCTTCATTTGTTCAGGTTAGTTTTGCCTCGCAGCCCCCCTGGTATTCCTTGGAAAGTGTACGGAAGAAGGAGATTCGTGGGAGGCAAATTGAAAAAATAGAAGTGATTCTAAATCTCCACAAATCCATCAGAATACCGTCATGAAAGTTATCAGGCTTGTGGACATCTCCGTATCTTAAAAAAGATGTTTAGCTATAAGTTTGGCGAGATGGCGCGTTCACACAGCATGTTGGGAGGACCCGTTGGTTTAAGAACTATATGCACTGGCCTATCGAAAATGTTTTTCAATATTCGAATTATAACGCATACACTCACTTGAGCTCGACCGAGTGCATAGTTGATCTGCTCGCCGTCCTTCGACCAATGAACTTCCAGTGGCCTCGGCCGCCCACTGATACGACACGATATCTCTGCTGGTTCTCCTGCACCTACTACCACTTCTGTGGGAGCAGTGATCACTGGAGCTCCTTAGCGGCAACAAGATATAGTCAATCGCACAAAGCTCCTTCTCAGTGATTCTTCGAATAGGAAGAAAAGCAGACCTCGAATGTAAAGGAAGTGTGACATAGAGGTATGTTTGAAGCCTTCGACCACTACAGTACATATATATTCTCCTTGCTGCCAATTACTAGCACTATCGATCGCAATTCTGAAATCGTAACAGGAAAAGCATGCGAAAAAAAAACTATCTGAGCAGACGCCGGTTATTGCCGGAAAATCATTTGAATAGAAAACAATTGATATTGACGTGTCCCCTTCTGCAATAATCTGCTTGTCTCCCGCTCTTGTCCAAAACACTGATGGCAGTGGATTTCCGACGGCGTCGCATCGAAATGATGTTGATTCGCCCTCATTGACTTCTTTTTCTTGAGAGGTCGACATTATTCGGGGACCAACTGAAATAAGTAGTTCTGAAGATGTATTGTAGTAATGTACTCAGTCGTAAAAAATCAAAAGCATACTACTAATGTCATCATCACCAATGACTAATGACTGGATCATGACTACCCATAAGAGGATGAAGAGCCCTTTCTAGAACCACTTATAGCATTGTGCAGATGGGCATGAAAGGATAGGAGAGTATATGTACTGAATATATATATATGTATATATATTCATATACTATTATATATATATACATATATACATATATGTATTACACCAGTCAGGTCGTCCGTCTGACGCCGAGCGCTCCCCCTTCTTGTGTAGAAATGGCCTGTCGCCTACGTCTCCTTAAAAATTTGGGCGCTACCGTACAGTAGAACATGACGCAAAATTTTCGGGTAAAAACAAGCACAGACACCCGACGCACTTCTTGAGTACCTCCTCCGCCATGAGCGGAGCTCTGCTCAATTCATGTGTGTTTTAGCAAACTGGTTCATAACCCTGTTTTTTTTTCATTTTTTCCACTCGACTGCACGAATTCGCTGGGATGACAATCATTTCACGCACGCCCTCCCCCGGAAGCTCAGCCTGGTCATGCCACATATCACGAGTTTTCTCATACTGCCTCCTGCACTCCTAACACATTCGAGTGCTTTAGGTCCAGTGGGACAGGATTTATGAACTTTCGCTTGAACAAAACGCGCAACCTGTGTGCGTGGTCCTGCTATCCAACATAAGTGTTCCCATCCAGCCACATGCACTCCTACAAAATTTGATTGCTCTAGGTCTAGTGGAAGAGGCTATAAATTCCCGGCCAGACACACACAAACACACCAACAGACACACTTAGCGGATTGTGTAAGTAGGATATATCTTTACACTATTACGCAAATTCCGAAGATGAAAGCGGCTTTCGATTACTGTTTTTTTTGCCAGATAACTTAGCTCGATGAACCTTGTACCATACCGGAAAAGGACCATTGCGGTTCCGCACAGAAAGCGACTGACGAAAATTCGAATCAGAATGGATAGATATGACATCTTTATCCGAAGATACCAAAGTTACATATAGATCTTTACGACTTATTCTGGTATTTCGGAGTGCCGTTGTTTCTAATAGGTTCTAATAGGTTGCCTGATCACCACGAATAGAATGCGTGCCCTGCAACGCGATCTCATACTTTTTAAAGGTTGGTAATGAGTTTTGCTAGCAGGACATTCCACTCCTCTATCAACGCAATGCTGAGGGGTCATTAGTGCCTTTGAACGCGTTGCAATGGGTTCATACAATGCACCCACATGTGCTCGGAGGGACTTGGGCCTGGGAAATGAGCAGGTCACCCTTTTCCCTTTTGTTCTTCCTAGATTTCATCCCTTCGTCACTTTTTTATGTACGGCATCTTCAGCAATTACATTAGTTTTGGCGAGGTCCTCCCCGATCACATTTCACCAACTCTTTTTTGGAACTCCTCGAGGTCGTTCACCTTGAGCTCTTCACTCCAGTGCCTCCCTCACCGGATGATTATGTGGTGTTCTCAGTACATGCCATCGCGAGCGCTGTTCTCTCATTTTCAGGTGGACTGGGATTGTTTGCCTAGCCGCGCTGACGTCTTCATTCCTGATCCGATTCAGCCGTGTCCATCTCCAGGCCATCTAGGCATTCTCTTTTAAGCGGAGTGGGGATGTCTCGCGTGGGTTTTACTTACGGGCCAACACTCACTGTAGTAGAGCATAGTGGGCCTTGCCACTGTCCGACATACCTTTCCTTCGAGAGGTGGAGCACCGAAGTGCACAGAGGATAGTGGTGGATTCCCCCATTTCGTCCATGTCGCGCATTTACTCGGGGTTTTACGGCCTGGTCCACGCTATCACCAGTGCTAGATCACTCCCTAGACATCGGAAGATTTGAACCTTTCTGGTGGCTTCTCCGAAACCGTCGGCGATTGACTTCGGGCGCTCATCGAAATTGAGGAACTTGGTCTCCATCACGTTCAGTTCAGCGAATACCACACAGTGAATGAGTAGGTGTCAGGGTTCTTACAAGACTCTGCAGCTCATACTGGAACCTGTGCTAGGTTTCTTGCGATGTCGTTCGGAAAAGTGCCTTTTCAGAAAAATTCGCACCGTCAAACGCTACCATTTTAACAGCTTAGCGACAGTCAAGAGCAACAGACGAAGCAGCGAAGCTTCTAAGAGCTCAGTTCACGATAGTTTTGGGTAATCCACATTATGATGAAAAATGGAAGACAAGGTCGAAAATAGTGCGATAAAGGTGAAGAAACTGAGTGAATCGGTTATTCCAAAGTAAAAAAGGCTTCGAAAACGTTAAAAGGGGGCTGGGCGAGCAGAAAAATGTGGGGCATCTGAACGAGCTATACAATGTGTCTCACTGCGTACGTGTGGGTCTTGGTGCGAATAACAGACTAGCAAAAAAAGCAAAAAAAAAAGAGCAAAAATTAAATAAGGGATCGCGGCAGCAAAAAGAATAACAGAGGAAAGAAGAATGGAATAAAAATATCGCCTCATTACTCGGCGATCACCTGATTGTGTGGGTCCTAGGACGAATAATTGCAATCTGTACCGCCTCGACACTCGTCTGACGTGACATCGATCGAGGGGCGGAAAGGCCGCACGGGCTGAAAACAGGGTTTTCACTATGCTCTGACCGCCGAGACTTGGAACCGAGAGGGACCCTTCTACCACCCAGGGGGCCACTGAGTGCTCTTGAGGGGAGAACTTTAACCTTTCTATCGCGAACCGTGCCTTGAAATCCGACATTCGAAAAAGGCTTCTGGTCCAACTTCTGCCGAAGCACACAATCGTATGCTCATTCGCGGGTTAGAAGCGAGAGAGATATTCTCCTGGGCAGAACGTGTTCTAGAGTGGCCCTCAACAAGGGCCACCCTAGAACATCAAAATATCAGTCAGCAACAATTATTTGATGGATATTTTGATGGTATTTTGTCCAAAGTAAACATCAACTAATTGTCGCTGACTGATATATTGATGGTGTTGCCATTTACGAGATCAATAAGTTCCTTTGACCCACGTTTCTGCGATGCAGTGGGATTGGGGTTGGGCGGCCAGTGAATGTTTCGCCTCTGGATTTCGTAAACAGATGTAGCAAAAAGACGAAACTTCACATCCACCGCGGGATTGGGGTCCTCTGACCGGAAGAATAGCGAGGAGAAGGGGATTGCAGGGAGGTTTGATCCTGCTGGTTGTTCACGAGGAGTTGCCCGTAGCTTGGGCTTGCGCCTTAGGTTGTAATGTAAGGCCTGAAAACCACACAGGGGTCTCCGCGATACTCCACGACCTATCGATTGCACTAGAGCGAAGCTGTGACCTAGGTCCAGAACCGATAACGCATTTTTTGGGACGACTGATGCCACCAATAACTGTGACTCTAGTAGGCATGAACTCGATTTCCCACTGCTATAAGTTTGAGTGTGGTCCACACTTTTAAAGGTGAAAACCTGGCATTGTGAATTACGACACCCTTTAAGTTCTTCTGAACTCCTACCTAGCTTATTCTGAAGTCTTCGTTTGGCAATGCCGTCGTCTGAACTGGGTTTGGTCAGACATTTCACGGACTGCGGACCTGTCTAGGGCAGTAAGCCCACGTCTGAGGTGTGACTTCCCAATCTGTCCGGTACTCTATGTCCTCATTTAAATCCGTAAACTTTCACCACATCCCTGTCCTCGCTCAACCCCTAGACTGCCAATTCATCCCATATTGAGCAGTGTAGGCGGTACCGCCGACAGAATTTCCTGGCTGTTAACCCTCGTGTTGGCCCAGCTGCAAAAATTCATCCCTGTCAGCAATACTATGAAGTTCCTTGACCAACTACGAGGGACTTGATTCAGAAAGAACCACGTCATAGAATCATTTGACGTGACCTCTCTTTACATTAATGCATCAAACGGGGACGCCACGCACACCACCTACGAACTTTTGAATGCACATGCGGAGGCAATAAATATGTATGGGCTTACGGTCTCCCAAGTCATGACGTTGGTCAAGGAGTGCTTGGACTGCTCTATGTTAATGTGGTCATAGCGATACTTCAAGCAGATCAGGAGCCTACGGCTAGCACAAGCGCTAGCTATTGCCGACATGTCAAAAATTGAAAACCCGTATTTGATCGCCGGCCTGTCCTCTACTGTCGCTGTATAGGCTATTGCTTCGTCGCCTGCTCAGCCCAAAAAGAAATGAACACTCCGAACTGTTGAACAGCCGGGCTGACAATATCAGGAGAAGCCTAAGGATCAGTGGTTGCCGTTTATCAACATGCAGACCCAACTAGTGAGGATTCCTGCGGACAAATGGTGCTGGAAGCCTACCAGTGAGAATATTTCAGTTCGATTCAGATCGGCGCATCCACGCAAAATCAGGCGGGCTATCAAGGCAAAAATGGATAGGACTGCGAAAATGGCTAGAACATGTGGAGCTAGCTAGAAAAGTGGCTCTTTCTGATGGGTATCCATTGAGGGACAAGCACCTCGGCAGCCCACCATAGCGGAGCCCATACGAGCCAGCAACTGAAAATTCAGAATGGGTGCCTTTTCACCCTCCGTCCCCCCCCCCGTCAGTATAGAGGTGAGAATGGCCTACGAAAGTATGGGCTCGATATACGGTCCGGGTGGTTGAAGCCCCCCTTACAAATCTAGGGCAGAGGATGGTACAAAACTGTCTCTATGATCGTTCCTGTATGGCCCCCCATTGTGTCATCTGTTCCAACGGGCGAGGGGGTGACTGCATGTCGTCAGGTGTGGTTTACTTGATCACATGCAACCTCTGTGGAGATGAATACATAGGCGAGACCGGAAGACCTCTAACATGCAGGGTTAAGGAACATCTGGATGGCCTAAAAAATCTAGGCCTTAAGCGCTTCTGAGAGACCATAGGAGGCACCACCACGAAGATGTCGAGTTTGGGGTATGAATCAGGGTCTTGATGCGACTCTCCACGACCTCAGCACAAAAAGTCTCTTGAG